AGGAATCCTTCAGGTGTATCTCCCTCTGTGATCCTGAGGGCGTCCATGCCTTCATCCTGGTCCTACCTGTGGGTCTCCTCACTGATGAAGACAAGGCAGAGTTACAGACCATCCAGAACACATTCAGCTCTAAAGTCACAGACTTCTCCCTCATTCTGCTCACTGTGGAGTCAGATCCTACAGCTTCAGCTTTTGTTGACTCTATAAGACAGAACAGAGACATCCAGGAGCTCTGTCAGAGCTGTGGAGGAAGATCTGTTGTTGTCAACATGAAGGACAAGCAGCAGATCCCAGAGCTGCTGGATCATGTGGACCAGATGTCAGATGAAGGATCCAGATGTTTCACTAAGGACATGTTCACTGAGGCTCAGATGAAGAAGCTTGTAGAGCAGAAAAACATTAATGCAGGACTTAAAGCTGAGCTGCTGGAAGTCAAAAAGAAAAGCGAGATGGGATCAGATCATGAAAATCAGAGCAGAGAGAGTCTCAGGATGGTTCTGATCGGGAAAACTGGTAACGGAAAGAGTGCAACTGGAAACACCATTCTGGGTGAAGAATGTTTCGAATCCGAGGCCAGCTCAATGTCTTTGACCAAGTTTTGCCAGAAAGAAACAGGAGAGGTCGATGGACGAGCCGTCACTGTGGTTGACACCCCCGGTTTGTTTGACACGACTCTGTCCAACGATGACGTCCAACAGGAGCTGGTGAAATGCATCAGCTTGTTGTCTCCTGGACCTCATGTGATCTTACTGGTACTGCAGATCGGAAGATTTACAAAAGAGGAAAAAGAAACTGTGGAGCTGATCACGAGAGTTTTTGGGGAAAAATCAAGAGATTACATCATGATCATATTCACCAGAGGAGACGATCTCAAGAAATCAATTGAGAGCTACATCGAAAAAAGTGATGATCTTTTACAAAAGCTGATCGCTGACTGTGGAAGGAGATATCAGGTCTTCAATAATAAGAATCAGACGGATCGAACACAAGTCAAAGAGCTGATGGAGAAGATCAACAGAATGATAAAGGAAAACGGAGGCAGCTGCTTCACCAGCGACATGTTCCAAGAAGCTGAAACAGCGATACAGAAAGAAATGGAGAATATCCTGAAGGACAAGGAAGAAGAGATGAAGAGAGAGAGAGAGGAGCTGGAGAGAAAACATGAGGAAGAAATGGAAGCAATGAAAAGAAGAATAGAAGAAGAGAGAAAAGTGACAGAACAAGAGAGAAAACTCAGAACAAAACTACTAGAAGAAATGGAGGAAAACATTAAGAAGGAGCGTGAGGAGAGAAAGAAAGANAGTTTTGCTCACTGAGACTTTTTCATGCACTAAAGTTTTGGCCGTTTCTCAAAACGCAAGTCCGGACTTGCTGAACCCTGACAGCGGAAGAACGCATTAATGTCACCACCTCAGTGCATCAGCTCTGATCGTCTTCACCGTGAAAAACAGTGAAGTTAAACAACATACAATAACACAGCTCTGCCTGTTTACTTTTAATATAAGAACACAAGGGAGTAGGTTTGATTTTGACGTTGGTGGGGACACAAAAGTGCTCCGAGGCAGCACTCCTGAAAGTTGTAGTTTTTTTTTTGTATTTGCAGTCATAATTTCACGTCATGTGGAGCTGATCAAACAAGCAAACAATCATAGTAAAACAAAAAAAAACATTCAGTAACTGACAGCCTCTCTACAAAAATATGTTGATGCGTGACATGAACAGATCAGGGACACAATGACCATAGTCTGATGGTACAGTTATTACCTGAGCAAAAAAGGCTTTTACTTTTATTACGTGTAATTTATTCCCCAAAAAATATGGATGTATAAAATCACATGAGCATCTAGAATCTGAGGTTTTATTGTATTTTTCCCACAAATTTTGTTTGTGTTTTTTTTTTTTTAAAAGTTGCTCTCTTCCATACCATCACATGAATATAATAAGTTAAAAATAACTTTAAAAAGTGCATCTCTTTGGCATTAAATATTTAGTTTTATTCAACATCTGTATTGTTGAGCCTCTACAGTTATAAACCCTTGAAGTCACTTACACTGTAACTCCTAAAGAAGTGTCTTATGTCCAGTTTTCTCTTCTTTGACATCCTTCAAATCCTAATTACCAAGCGCGCGTGCACGCACACACACGCACAGAAACACACACAAATGTAAATGTAAATGACACCACTGATTATAATCATAATATGCTGCCCTCCCTACTGACACTCTTGGTGGCCTTCTGTCCTGTCCAACAGGCTGATAGCAGCTTTTACTGGATAATGGAGTGACAGCAGGGACTGCCAATCATATGTACACTAGGGAGAAACCGGCAGAGCCAATCGGAGAGCGATATTTAGGTAGGAGGCGGGACTTCTAGCACAGAGCCAGTGTTAACCCTTTGTGTGTCATAATCATTGCCTAAACACTGCGGACAGCACTTGTATTGACAGTGACTACACATTAGTGGCTGGATATTAAATTGACGTGTGTCTAGCGTCCNAAACATTTCCTATTTTCTTTACAGTTTTTTTTAATGTAATAACCTGATAATAATATAATTTTTTTAATGAAACTGTTTGTTTACATCATTGCCTTTGTGTTTAATACAAAGTTGGACTTTATTCATTGTGTTTGTGATATTATTTCTATTCTCTGCTATACATACACTTTGGATTGTGTGTTAATATAATTTGAACATAATTTTTCTAAGGTATACCCTGTTAGCCTCAAATTTAATATATTGTTTAATAAATCAAAATCATTCGTTACCCTACTCTAGACATTTACTATACATCCAGATATCTCTTTCACCATTGTTTTAGTTGTGTCTATTTAAACGGGTAATTACTTTATTACTTTAGTTGTAATGTGTTCCTCTTTTTAGGGGTCTGTGGTGAGAGGGTTACATAAATATTCAAACAAAGGAACAAGTTAGAGCTGCAGTAGATAAAACCTTCCACCAAACAAACACAGGTTTATGTCCATACGGCTGCTTTCATGCTAAATCTGGGCTACTTCCACAACCTGACCAACCACTACAACAGCACAGAGGCTGAGCAGAGTGAGCACTGCTAAACGCTGATGTTAGCTTCAGGCTAACACAGCTCCAGACTCACTGTTTACATCAGCTGCTCTGGTACGTCCCACTGTTTCGACACAACATAATTCAGGTGACACTGGATAGCAGGTGGAGCTGTTGCAGCATGTTGTGATGAAGAGGATGCAGAGACGCACTGATCTCTGTGAGGTTTATTCTCTTTACTCTGACAGGAACAAACTGTGATGAAAACCACCATGTAATAAGCTGCAGCTGCTCTCCCACAGCAGGACAGAACAAGGCCTGAGAATGGACAGTAGGTGTGCAGCAGCAGCAGCAGGAGGAAGAACCAGTACTGGGTTTACTGGTCAACACTGCATTCATATGGGGAGCTGCTGGTTCACCCCTCCCCAAACCACAAGTGACCCAAAGGCCCACAAGATGCAGATCAGACATGAAACGAGCCTCAGCAGTGTTTACAGCTGTATTAAAACAAGATGTGACACTACTGTATGACAGGAAAATAAAAGTAAATAACATTTGTTGGCCTCAACAAGAAAAATTAACAGTTTGCATCAATCTGTTGCAGTTAAGAAAACTTCCATTATGTTNTTACACCTCATAGGGTCTAAACATGAAAAACTTAAAAAGCTAGGATTTAAAAACCACTTTCTCTGCTTCATACACAAATGGGTAAAAGAGGGGAGCAGCAACATTAATTTCAAATGCAACTCACTTTGAACCGATATCTGCGATCAGTGATGAGGAGGGTAGATCCATCGTAGCAAAAGGAAAAATAGATGGAAAAGGGGTAACGTTATTCAAAATCTATGCACAACTTTTTTCAAAAAGGTGTTTGATTTAATTGCCTCAGAAACATGGATTCTTATCTGCGCAAAGGACTTTACTATAGTTTTGAACTCATGAATAGACACAACCAATAAAAAAGAACAATAACCTCAACAGTTAAACGTGTAAATAGAGCACTTAAAGAATTAGGCCTTATGGACACGTAGCGATGCTTAAATGGCTCTAACCCAGGATACACTTTTTATTCAGCACGCCATGCAGTCCATTCAAGAACTGATTATTCCCTCATGCACAACAAGGATTTAGTCTGAAGTCTGAAGGAAAAACTGAAAAATCTGGAACAAAAGGAACCTTCCACCTCAGATCAAATTAGGGAAGTTAAACAGCAAATAGACAAAATTTTAAGTGAAGCAGTTGTAAAAAAAATATAAGGCTCATGAAACAAAGATACCATGAGGCAGGCGCCACAGCAACAAAACTGTTAGCTTGGAGACTCAAAAAACAACAGGCAGATAACACTATTCCCAAAATATGAGACCCTGTTACAAATAAAACCACTCGCAGTCTAGATGGAATACATAAAGCATTTGAAACATACTATCAAA